GACGATGACGACGACGACGACGACGACGACGACGACGACGACGACGACGACGACGACGACGACGACGACGACGACGACGACGACGACGACGACGACGACGACCGAACGACGACGACGACCGAACGACGACGACGACCGAACGACGACGACGACGACGACGACGACGACGACGACGACGACGACGACGACGACGACGACGACGACGACGACGACGACGACGACGACGACGACGACGACGACGACGACGACGACGACGACGACGACGACGACGACCACGACGACGACGACGACGACGACGACGACGACGACGACGACGACGACGACGACGACGACGACGACGACGACGACGACGACGACGACGACGACGACGACGACGACGACGACGACGACGACGACGACGACGACGACGACGACGACGACGACGACGACGACGACGACGACGACGACGACGACGACGACGACGACGACGACGACGACGACGACGACGACGACGACGACGACGACGACGACGACGACGACGACGACACCAGCAGCAACAACAACAACAACAACAACAACAACAAGATGAAGAGCGACAGCGACCAGCCAACAAACACACACACACAAACGGACGGACGGAGAGACACAGCACCAAAGAACAAAGAGAACCGGAGAGTCAAAGAAACAAAGAACCAACCAACCAACCAACCAAAACAAACAAACACACAAACAAGCAAGAGCAGTGCCAGTAGCAGCAGGAATGCAGTTGGCACCACAGGAAATCCCAAGCAAATGTAAGATAAGTAATCCTATCAACCACGACGACATCTGCAGCGACACTTGCCAAACTAGCCACGACACTGACTGGAACCTACAACTTACTGATGCTAGCACTATTTTGCCCCAAGCGAACAATTCTCCACTCTTCCCGCAAAGCTGTTGCACTAACCTCCGGCTGGCCACGCGAATGGACAAGATCGAGCCCAGCCGACAAGCTTCAACAAGCACTGCTGCCCTCCTCGCCGCATCTTAAAAAGCAAACTGCCCATCCGGAACCTCTGGTTTTCCACAGGCTGCAAATGCTAAACCCAAGAACTAATAACTCGACTACTGACTGATTGTCTCAGTAACCGGTGCCACTACCATACAGTCGGGTTCCTCAGTTCAACTACCCATCCTGCCGTCGTTCGTAAACAGAATGCCACAATTCCATCGTAGCTTTCAGGAACTGATTGTGGTGACAGCTGCCCCTTGTGACCTCTCTCTCTCTCTCTCTGCCATTCCGCAAAAGCAAACGCCACCGCAGCAGAAACTACAACATCCAACTGGAAGCTACAACACCCCGGTCTTGGGGCTCCACCTGTGACACCCTTGCTAGAAGTATCGCAGTTCCCTGAAGCACCGTGATCAATTACGAGTATGTCAGTTGTCGGATCGGATCTGAAGCAAATCCAGATTGCAGCCCCCTGCAGCCAGGCTGCAAAGTGATCGCGCTGCTCTTCCGTCTCAAACCACCAGCCGTCACTTGCGCGAACTGGTTCATTCCCAGGTGTGCCAGTTTGGAAGGGGCGGTAACCGCCTGGGCAAGGCAACGTGGGTGCGAAGCCACCGCGAATCCCCAACCCAGTCCGAGCCTGTGCCCTCCACGGGCCAACCAAGACGGCGGAAGTCCTGAGTTCCAGCAGGCGCGGAGACCAGCAGTCGCATCCACCTGGCACATGCCCATGAAGGCGCGTGAGTCACAGGCTTAAAACGACCAATTGCAACTAGGACCATGCTGTAACTAGGACCAGTATGCTTCCGACCTTGACACTTGTTCTGAGCTGTGCACTTGTTCTCGTGGTAAATCTCCAAAAGCGTTGCCGTAAAACCGCCGGGGAAAATCACGGAGCCAAAGAAGCGCTGGCCGTTCGCCAAGGGCCCCCGCCTCACTGGCGCAACGTTCAATTATGGAGATTGTGAAGCTTTCAAGTCAGTTAGGTTCTCCAGAACTGCAGTAACTGCATACTTCCGCGCAACTTTATTCTGGCCAGCGAATTTAGCGCTAGTAAAACATATCGATATCTGCGAAGACTTGATTTCCTTCGCAACAGGCCAAGGCAGAAACGTTCCAAACGCACGCCGAAAAAGATCTGCGGATCTGCGCACACGGCCTTCACAGCCAAGCGGCAGGCCCATGGCCATCTCTAGCCCTGAGATGCGGCTGTCATATGTTTGCAACGCGGAGTGAAGGTGCAGCTCTGGGGAGTGCTTGCAACGGTTCGAACTCCAAGCGCTTTGAAAACACCAATTGCATGCCAAAGCTCTGCGGCCAAACTTGAGATGCTTGTGTCTCAGATGGCGCTGCTTTCGAATCTCCTGGGCATGGCCACTTTTGGGAGTTGACATGGGAGGAACTCACGAAAGGAAAGAACAACTGCCAAAGTACTCGAATACCAACGTCTGGGCGACAAGCAATTTCAAGGAACAATGAGCAAAAGACACTGCAGAGTGCAATCCTAGCGAATGAGTTTCAAAAGCGGAGCATGGCGGAGCAGACTGGAGCAAAGCGAAGGGCGGAGAAGAGAGTGAGCAGAAGAGCGGAGAAACGAGCACAGCGGAGAGCAGAGCAAAGAAAAGAGCGGAGAGAGAGCAGTGTGAAAAGTGGGCAAAGCCGGGGAGCCTTGCGGGCGGTCCAGGGGGGGTTCGGAGGTGCCCATAAGGCCGAAACCAAATTTATTGGCAGCGCCTGTGGGATTCACTGGCCCTACTTGCGAAAGCAAAGTAAAAAGCCCTCGGCAAGAAACGATGGCGAATTTCGTTTGCTCCAAGCGCGTCCCAACCGACTGGCGTCCCTGCGATTTCTCCTGCAGTTGCACCCACAGGTGGCATGGATCCTCCAGCCACCGTGCATCTGGAAGCGCACGCTTCGTGAGCTCTGCAGGGTTGAGGCTGGGCACTGTCCTGAGAGTTGTACACAAAGGCAACAAAAAAGGCACGACAGCCTGCATACACACAACATTCTCCAAGGCTGACCAGTCATACATCATCATCATCTGAGTACAAGGCACATGCACCGAAAAACATATCTGAGCAATCTTCATGAATGCGCATGCAGGAAGGGTCCACGATGGTACACGGCAAAATCGTGTTCTTTTCAGCTGCTTTCTGGCCATGATTCAAATAGGACAAAAGGAAGTCTTTCACCCGGAGTACGAAGGACTTGCAAATGTTCGCGCGGAATGGCTCCAGACAAACATCGATCTTCCAGGGAGCAGGAATGGACTTCACGCCTCAGCAAATGCCAATCTCAGGATGAGTCTGCGCACCGCGCATGCTAGCTGCTGGCTGGCCAAACAAAACCGCACACCACTTCAAACTCTTCCGAACATCAATTTCACCCTCCCTTCTTCACAGTAGCCTTGAAAATAGCCACGTCTGGGCCAACCTGGCGATCCAAGTAATGCCTCTATTTCTGCCAGGCCGCCTTTTTGGCCCCAAGGTGATAACCGCGCCTCCGTCTCTGACATTGCATTGCTCCGCAACTTGGCAGCACCTTGCGAGGTTGCCACGAGCAACCCCAAACAGCAATGTGCCGTCCTGCTCAACGCCGATGTATGTCACTAATACCCTTCGCAGTCCCAACCAATCAGCACTTCAGCATGCCTCAGCCTTCAGCCTCTTGTCCAAGCGGCGGAGCTGAAGCACGGGCCTTGATTCGCCGGCCTTCTCCTTCTCGGAACCTTTTTGTGTGGCCAAGGCCAAAATCCGCATTGGCTTCTCAAGGGATTTTGGCGGCAAGAACAAATTCTTTGACCAACTGGGTGGTTGGGACCTTTCCTCCAAACGGGCTCACTATGAAACGGCTTGACTATGCAAGAATGTGACCGCCTCCTAATGGCGGCAATCCACAGCTGTCACCATTTCTTGCTACGTCTCGTCAGCGTGTCGATGTCCTTCGTGCGCGCGCACCAGCCACGTAGGGCCCTCTGAGCAGAAATTATTCTGTCAGTCCTGCCTTCACACGGGGACCGTGTGCTTTGCTTTCTCCCCACCAGCAACGGCAAAAGGTACAAGTGTCACAGTCGCAGCCCCTCATGGGCAGGCTTGCCTAAATACATGGGTCAAGTAAGTTAAGCATGCCAAAGAGATTTGGAGTGGCGGTGGGGCGAAGACCTGGCGATTGCCTCAGGCAATTCCAGTTTGCAAAGCTTTGTTTGCCTGGAGCAGCCACTGCATTGCCTTCCACTCTGAGCCTCTGAGCACTTCTTGCATTTCTGGCGCTTGCGCGCAGGTCGCGGAGGCAACAATGCAGCTCACATGTCCAGAAGGTCCACACTTGCAGGCGCCGGCGCCGGCGCCGGCGCTGGCTGCTCAGGAGGTCCAAAGTCCAAGAGATCGTCACTTGGGCTAGGCGTTGCAGTCTGACTAATAGGTGTCGTCTTTGCCTAAGGCACCGCGCACGAGTGTGAGAATCTTGATCTACAAGCCTTTGGTTACAATGTGTCCGTTGGCCAGTGCCGGGAGGGGCAAATGTGCAACTGCTGCATCGGGCACACACTTACACACCCTCACATGCGCTTCGCCATGTTGCAGTATCGCCGCGCATTCGTTTCATCTCCTGGACAAAGATAGGTCTGAATTGGTCTCGTAGTCGCGGCATGTTTCTCGCATACCAATCATCGTTGTACTCCTGAATGCCGCGAAGGGTTTCATTCTCCATCCGTCATGGCTGATGTTTGACTTCCAGCTTTTGATGGGTGACGGCATGATATGGCATGCTTGCCCTGGGAGGCCAAACGCGGTCCTTGTGAAAGTCCCGGATCCATGCCCACATCGCCTTCTGCTCCGCCTCGGGTGAGGGAGGCGGTCCTGCACATCGTCACATGCATTTTTCTTGTTTGATCAGAAAGTCTGGCACAACGCTCAAGTCCTGCAATCCCATGCTCAGCGAGCCAGTGCACAAGATCTTTTCGCATCACCTCATCAGGGGCCGCTTGCACTGCATGCAGCATGTGCTTTTACCCTTAGTGCCTCAAGGGCTTGCAAGTACTTCTCAAGTCAACCTTTACAAAGGTAGGTTGGTGGCCATGCAAGCAGAATGCAGCTGCCATGATTTCGACTGCGCATCTTACCGGCCACCTTCACATGTTTGAGATCGTCAGCCGCTCCAGTCGGTGTCTTGCTTCATTGCCTATCATGTGTTTGACGTTTCCCTCGGTTTCTTCCGTAGTTGACAGTGTCCCGTCAAGAAAGACTATTTGGGCCGCAACAAGTGCAGCTACAGCTGCTATCAATTTACCCGAACGGCACCACAGGCCTCACTTTTTCACTGTTGTTCACGGATCTGTTCCCCGCGTCTCGCTTCAAATAAGTGATCCCCCACTCACTAAGCAATCCCTAGAAGCAGCATCAACAAAGGCCTCCTCTATGATTAATCTCCTGGGCAAACGCCAACACGTCTTTGTCACTTCCAAGCACAAAACAAAACAATCAGAGAGTGGGAGCAAGAGAGAAGCTTTAGTGTGTCCCCATGCTGGCCTCGTTGCAGTCCTTCTGGGACTCTTTCGTGGGGCAGGACACGCCGACTCCTTGTAAGGCGCCTCGCTTGTCATCTGTTCCTTAGATATGTCTAACCGCAGCTCATCCAGGTGAAAAAAAAGAGCCCAAAATGCGGCAATCTCCGATGGCTGATGGCTAGAGAAATCAGCTTGATTCGTAAGACAGTCAAACAATGCGATCCCCTGACAACTCTTGAAACATGACTGCTGCCGGGGGGTGCAAGCTTGGAAGCATCCTGCAAGTCCGGGCGAAACAACGAACATAGTGTAGGACCGCCGAACCGCTGTGGGGCATGTTTAACTTCAGACTAGCTTCCTTGACTCAACTGCTCCTTCGTGTTCCTCTTGTTTAGGTCTAGACGGACAGGCAAGGGCGTCTTCCTGTACACCGACTCAGACATTGCGACAGCCAGGCCGGGGATCAGGCCCAGGCAGGCTTGAACCAGTCTGACGGCACCGGAGATTCTTTGCTTAGGTTTTTACCTATTTCTACCCTGGTCGGAAGGACTCAATGAACATCAACGGCATTTGTAGGCTAGCTTAATCCGCGTTTTAGCTGGTAAACCCCCTAATCCGTAATCCGCGCGGCTTCTTGCCGTTCCAACCCCCAAGCAGGGCTATTCAAAATCCATGCAACCCAGCCCTCTTCTGCTCAAAAGCAATATCCCGCTCGGGTTGTTCCAATGAAACGCCTCTTAAACAGCTGAAAACAGTTGCCCCACAATGTAGTTGGGCGTCCTACATCAAAACGTTCTAATCCGTAAACCGCGTAATCCGTAATCCGCTAATCATTGGGAAAGGTTTGAGACAGGTTAGATAGGTTTATATGCTGACCCAAGGCCACAGTCCCCATGAGACCTGCGTGCGCAATCGCCACAGCTGGGCGCAGGGCTCATGATCTTCTGGTCGAATGCGAGGAAGGTCCGCAGCTCGGGGCCCTCCTCGCGGACGCAAAGCCTTTGGGATACGGCTCGGTGTAAGCCAAGTGTCGAGCGCCAATTCTACCCTGTCCAACACACAAACACTCTCGCCACATTCATCTTGAAGTGCAATTGGCAAAGTCAAACTGAAAATGTTCCTGTCCAAAATGCCTGACCAAATGCAAATCAGCAAGAATCGCAGGCTCCTTGGGCGCTGCGGAGAACACAGCACTCGCCTCCATGACCTCCGACACACAAACACACGTTCAGAGCTAAGCGCCAGCCTGGGTCAATGCAAGACAAACCCAGCCTGCAAGGCCAGTGCCGGGTGATTATGAAACCTTGGCCCAGCTCAAGACGCGCCACACCACTCACCTGTTTCTTTGTCATGAAGGCCGGGAAGCAAGCCAAATCGACACCACGTGTTAGCCCCATGTCATACTCTTTCACCGTGTCGCTGTGGAAGCAAACTCTTTCCCCAGTTGGGAGAAATAACTGCCTGTCATACTTGTCTGCATGAGTGCATGCGCGCCGACCCTCTTTGCAGTCTCCGTTGGCCTTTTTTCATACTGCTCTGACTCACAAGCATCCCGCCCTGCCAAATCTATGGCCGTGCCACTTGTCTCCCTTGGGCACGTTGACAACGACGAGCGGAGGGGCCAAGCAGGACCATAGCCTGGGGCAGCTTCCCCAAGCCCAAGCTTGTGATTGGACTGAATGATACTGAATGGACCTCAAGCGGCCTTCGCATTTTCGTTCCCAGGTGCTTTCCCATGGATTCCACTGCCGGCCAAGGTGCCGATAGGGCGCGCCTCTCACACCCAAGCACTGGCACCACATGGTTCCCAGCCGGAGTAAGGCGCGTCGTCGACCGTTGGCGCTCGGCGGGTACAGGAGGTCAAAGTACCACTTGCCTTGCTTCAGCGTCAGCTTCAAGATTCAGCTGCACGGGTCTTGCTACTTGACTTGGGCAATGCTAAGCATGATTAGAAGCCGCCTAATGCAAGCACGGCCCAGGCTACATGGTGTCACGATTAAGCCCTGGTGATGACTTTGCCAAGGGCATTGTTTTTAGATGTGGGCACTTGCAACTTTCAATTGTGCAACTGTGCGGCTATGCGAAAACGACTTCAAGCTGCCATGCATACATACCCCGATTCAACTTCAGATCATGTTGGCACTTTCCCCATCTTGACGGGCATGCTTCATCTATCTTGATGTCAAAGTCGAAACTGCAGTGCATGGAAGCACGAACCAATTGGTCAAGAAAGGAATTGCCCCCTATCAAGAATGAACCCACAAACTCATGTGGCAGGAGGCCCGCATTCACTGCGTGCTCTTTTACACGTGGCTTGCGTGCTTGCACTCGCTGAACTTATGAATTGGCCTATGACCTGACTCTTTGGGCCGGGTGAAACTCTGGAAAATGCGGCCACCGAACAGCGTGCACCTGCGGCAAATCTAAGGTGATCCCTGCGGCTCTGCTCGTAGTGGACGAGGCCATGCAGGGCTTCTTGGCGTTCTCGCTCTTGCCTGCTCCGTGGAAGATGGTGAAAACGCAAGACATCGACCCGAGCTCAGATTGATTTCGTCCACCAGTCTGCCGTTCATGTCCTGATACTTCATCAGCTCTCTGCGCTTTTCCTCTACTTGGGAGCGGAAGAGGTCTCGTCTTCTTTCCGCCGTCTGCCATGGGTGAACCATTGCAGAATTTTAAGGGTGTAACGTGCCCAGCTTGTGTTTAACGGCCGTTCAGTGGGAAGGGGCCGCCCTTTTTGCCAGGCAAGAAAATACATGAAATGGAAGCTAGCTGCACCATTGGTAGAGAAGCGCATGACATGGTGAAAGCCCAGATTTGTCCCATCAAAGCTGACATGAAGGCCTTCCACACGCACTCCTGCCTGCTCCTCTTGCAGCAGCACAGCCTGTTCAGTTCGAAGCTCACTTCGCAAACGCTCGATGGCATGGCCCTGTAGCAGCTTCTCTTGACATCTTTCCGCGCGGGATTCGGCATCCATGATCTCCTTACAGATCGCCACGCGGCGATGCTAAACGACGGTTGCCTCCTGCAAAAAGAGGCTGAAAAGCTGAAAGGGCTATCCTGGAGTCGAGGCACCAACTGAACAAACACACACTCTTACTTTGCACCCCCGCTACGCAAATTGCACATCTTGTATTGCCTCACATGAATCTCAGTACCTGCGCCAACAAGGAAACCGCGGATACATGATCGTTGCATTGCAGCAGTTGTTGCCAATACTTCAATACAACTTCCTTTCGCTTCCCTATTGCAGTATTATTTACATACCTACCCTCGCAAATGCGTGTATTTCATAATTGTTTATACAAATACAGCAGCAACATAAGCTCGGCAACATATTCGCGCAAAGCACTGCTTTGGCAGCTCAAGGCTGCTTGTTGAATGCATTTCCAAAAGCCACTTGCCAAGGCCAAAGTGCCCCGAAGGCAAAGTCAGACTGCTGCAGAGCAAGATTCTGCCTGTAGCTTGCACAGCTCCTTCTGCTCTGCTTGCAGTTCGTCTTGAGCGTCTCGCTCTGATGAGTCCAAAAGCTCATCCTCCAAGAGCTCCAACTGAGCATGCGCCATCTCCATCTCCTGTAGCTGCCTGCAGGGAAACACGCTTTGACAAACGGATGTCGTCAAGTGTCTGTTCGTAATTTCGCGCCTAGCCTCTGGATGGATGTGAAAGGCACCGTAGCACGGTCGTGACGGGCCAGCAAGGCTTCCGCCTCGTCTGGGTCCTCCAGCCCCAACTGCAAGCCGCAGGCCGCTGCGCATCTGCCGACTTCTGCCAGGTGGGTGCGGAGTGCTTCGTCCTCGTCTCTGTCGTCTTGCGCTTCTTGGATGACGGGCTCGGCTTGGAATTGCGATGGCGCGCGCGCTGGCCTCGCTTCAAGCTCCCTGAGCCTGAGCTCCCGGACGTCCCGGAGCTCTCTCTGAAGCTCCCGGTGCAGCCCGTTGGCCTCACGCAACTCCTCCGCCAGGCGCGCCTGCTGCGCATTCACTGCGCTGATCTCCACCTGCCGTTGCGCTGCTTCAGCATTTAGCTCGCGAACGCCACCGCGGCCACACTTCTGTTCGCGAAGACCACGCAGGCGCGATCGCAGCTCCTGGTTTTGGCGCTTGGTCTCGAAGGCTTTCTCCGCCGACGCCTCCCTCACGCTGGCCAACCGCTGCAGGAAAGTCGTGCATTCCTGGCGCTGCCACTGACTGCGCGCCTGAAAGTGCCGCAACTTGCCATGGAGCCGGATATGAAGCTGCCGCTGGGCCACCTCTGCTTGAAGCTCTGCCTCAGCTCTTGAAACCAACTTGGAAACATGCCAGGGATAGCCTGTGAACAAAGAAATCTGACCAGATCTGATGCTTGAAAGCTTTCAGGCCAAGCTTCCCATGATGACTCGCAGGTTTCCAGCAGGCCATTGGAGTCATCAGGGTCCGTGCTCAAAATGTCACCATGCGACAATCCGTTGAGGCCATCTGGCACGACGGGCTCGGACAGAGACATGCTCCCACATCCCGCGGGCTGCTGGCGCAAACATCTCACTTACTGTTTAAGGCAACCTGAGCCGCATAGTTGCGGGGGTACATTCGCTGACGCAAGAAGGCACAAGTGTCAAGCCCATGGCTCCATGTGAATGTACGGGAACCTTCGTGTTTCAAGCCACATGGTTTGTGCAAAGCCTCTCAAAAAATTCAGCCGTATGTCATAGTATGTCATCAGGTGGCGGAGGGTCACGGCGATCTGCATGAACTCCCTGGCGCTGCCAATGTCCAGCTTGTTTTTCGGCTTCGGCCGAGAGCCAAAGAAGCTCCGTCTCTCCTCGCATCTGCAAGTCTTGTCCACGTTTTGCACTACAGCATGATGGCAGTCCTTTTCTTGAGGCGAAGTGGAGGCGGAGACCTCACTGCCATATGCCCATTGCAACAAAAATCAGGGCACATTGTCAAAAGCCAGCAAGCGCTTGAGGAGGCCCTGTCAGGGTTTGCAGGGTGGCCATCTCCAGCGCCCCACAGCTCCAACCATCTAGCAACATTTGAGTGCGTCTGAAAATGAGACACATGATCATTCACCGATTGCTCCGAGCAGCGTTACCCGATTGGGACCCTACCTCAATGGAGATCTGCCGCCCGACCTGCGGTCTAGCTAATGCTCACGACCCTGCAAACCTTGAAATGCCCACTTTCTCCGCTTACTATGGCTCGCGTCGAAAGATTCAGCTTGCCAGACCTCCACACTCTCTTCGACGATGAAAGAATTGAAATTTTGAGCTGCGGGATCTGCAGGGGCGTCGTCATCAAAGTCCAGCTCGTCGTCAATGATATCAAAATCACCTCCAATGACTGACAAAATCCCAAAACGGTACTTGCCCTTCGGCAACCCTTTGGCAGGCAAACCGGCTGCAGAATGATAGTTAAAGGAAACGATTCTACGTGCAATGCTTAAGCCATATCAAGCTTCCCTCTGCTGCTTCCCACACTGAACGAGATAAGGGGACACAACCAAACGCAAGCAGGCCGAGCCTTCATCATCCTGGCAGGCGCCAATTTGGTCAAGAGGTATGTCTTGAGAAGATGCCAGCTACTTCAGGAGTTTACAATTTGCGGCACACTTTACGGTACAAATACGTTCTAGCAGCATCCAAGAGACAAGCCCATCTAGTAGGTCCGCCATGAAGCAAGGCACTGGATGCTCCCGTGAAGAGAACGAGTTAGGAAAAAACGCTTGTCTGAATGGTCGCACTTGCAAATCCATGACGTGCGTACTCGCCACAAACTGAGCGAATTGACACGCCAGCCCGCGATTAGTTGCTTGCCCTTTCAACTGCAGTGTCCCTGAAACTCATGTCAATCGAAAGTGACATGCCGCTTAGCAAGCCAGCACGCGGTCGTCAATCAACCCTGGACAAAAACCGGCTGTCGTGCCTGATCCTCTGGCGCCTGCAGACCATGAGCGCAACACGAATGATGGAAGCTCCAATGAAAAAAACTCTGTCACCTGTGGCCTCTGCATTCCTTGATGCTTGGAATGTGCATGATTTGTTGGCTTGAAATTGCTTTTGAGATTACTGTGTAATGACCGTCCGTAGGTCACTGGGCCGCATGAAAGCACCACATTGTGTGCGTGCTGCGTGCGAGCGGGCGGGCAAGTGTGCGTGTGTGGGTGTGTGTGGGGGCGTGTGTGTGTGGGTGTGTGGGTGTGTGCGTGTGGGGGTGGGTACGTGTGTGCGTGTGTGTGTGTGTGAATGGGTGTGGGTGTGGGTGTCTGTGTGTGTGTGGATGTGTGGGTGGGTGCTTGTGCGTTGTGCGTGTGAATGCGCGGGCGCGCGGGCGCGCGCGCGGGCGGGCAGGCGGGCGGGTGCGCGTGCGCGTGCGTGTTTGGGTGCGGGTGGGTGTGGGTGCGGGTGTGATTGTGTGTGTGGGTGTGTGGGTGTGAATGTGCGTGTGGGTGTGAGTGTGGGTGTGTGTGTGTGCCTGCGTGCGTACGTGTTGGTGTGTGTGTGTGTGCGGTGTGTGGTTGTGGTGTTGGGCTTGTTGTGTTGTGTTGTGTTCGTGCTTTTGGTCATGTGTCTTTTTTTGTTTGGTTGCTTGTTTGTGTGTTGCGTGTTTGTGTTTCGGTGTGTCTGTGTCTGTGTGTCTGTGCGTCGGTTCGTTTGTGCGTCTGGGCGACTGTGCGTCTGTATGTCTGTGCGCCTGCGCATGTGTGTCTGTGTGTGTGTCTGTGTGTGTATCTGTGTGTGCGTGCGTGCGTGCGTGCGTGCGTGCGTGCGTGTGTGTGTGTGGGTGCGTGCGTGCGTGCGTGCGTGCGTGCGTGCGTGCGTGGGTGGGCGGGCGGGTGGGTGGGTGGGTGGGTGGGTTGGTGTGTGTGTGTGTGCGTGTGTGTGTGCGTGTGTTGGTGTGTGTGTGTGTGTGCCTGTGCGTGCGCGTGTGCGTGCGCGGGCGAGTGTGTGGGCGTGGACCCTTCGACGACGTAGGTTGCCTTGGAGCCCCCATTGGAAAACGGCAAGGGGCCAGGACAAAAACCTCCTTGGAATGGCATGAG